GTTGGGTTTGACGTCTGTCCAAAGCTTAGGCTTTTCCTCAGCCTTTGTTCCAGAACATTGAGGTGACAGTGGAAATGTCTCTGCTGCCGGAAGAAAACATGATTAGGAATGGTGTTTCACTGGGATGCTGGTAGTCTGCCTTTCATCTAAGTCACAACAGCCGGGTCATTCTGGGAGGACTGAAAGAGTCTGCCATCATTTGAAAAAAAAAATCAATTTTCCTGCCAAAACAATAATGCATTTGTTTTATTTTTTTTTAATTGGAAAAGGCAGGAGCATGATAAAAAAGAATGACCCCTTATAACCCCACGTTGCAAAAATAACCATTGTTAACACAATGGAGTTTATGTTCCTTTCAGATTGTACATAAAGGTACATTTTTAAATGAAATTGGGTTACTAACAGGAAACATTGATTGAAGCTGGTCTGTGTGCCAGGAAATGTGTAAGCTATTTATTATTCGTTTATTCCTCACAGTAACTCTTCAGAGAATCTCCTGGGTGTGGGTTAGGGCATGGGTAGGTGAATGTGTGTTGTGTGCGCATATGTGCACTATGCACACCCATCTTTGTGTATGTGGAGTCCAGAGGAAGACAACAGGTGTCCTGCTCTATCACACTCCACTCTTTACCTTGTCCCCTTGAGACAAGGTCTCTCATTAAACCTGGAGCTCGCCTGGAAGGAAGCCAGTAAACCCCAGTGATCCTGTCTCTGCTCACCATGGCACTGAGGTTACAAGCATGTACACAGGATACTCAGCTTTGCGGGGAGGGGTGCTGGTGATTTGAACTGAGGTCTTCTGCTTGAGCAGTAGCCTCTCCTACACACTGAGCCATCTCCTTAGCCCCTCTTTAAGGGATCGTTATGTCCATTTGCAGAGGAAGAAACTGAGGCAGGGAGAGGTTAAGTCATTTTCAAAGGTTTTGCAGTTTATAGGGGTAGACAGAAGACAGAAGTGAACAGTCCTGTCTCCAGAGTCCTCAGTCTTGACTGTGTCATTAGCTCCTTTCATTATTTTAGTGTATTGTATTATTTGGAATTATACAATATTAGCTCTGGGTTCTGTCTTCTCAGTCTACAGATTGGGAAACAGAATCCCACGGATGTAACTCAGTTTATACAAGAATATGTAGGTAGTAAATAGCAATGCCTAGAACAAACCCACATAGAGTTCACAAGAATGGTGGCTGCAGGTGATCCAGGAACCCTTGACTTCCTCCCATGTCCTAACCCTGAATATGAACTGTACCATCTGCTGCTCTACCAGGTCAGTCAAGTCCAGGTTAAACAAAATATGGAAGACTTGACTCTCTTCCTCAAACATAGGTGTCCTTTCAGTTGGAGCATCATATTTGTACCTGGTCCTCAATTATCTGTACAAAAGATGCAGCCCCCAAATAGTTCTTACCCTCCTCAAACATTTTTAACTGAGAGACTGGCTGACATTCAGTAAGAGTAGTTGATTTGGGCTTTAAGTGCTGTTTCTTTCCCCAACCTGGATTCTTGAAGCCATGCCAAGCATTGTTACAACTTTAAGTAAGGCAAAAGTCAGTCATCTTCCTGTGAGTAAACACGCCTTTGAATATGAGGCTGCCCGAGACCTACAGTCTTTAAGAGAGCGAGACTTCTTGCATTGGGAACACCTGGGTGCTGACCAGCCTAGCGCTGGGAGAACTGAAGAAAAAAACTGAACAGGTGGTGACTTACTGCTGAGTTTGACCAGGTAAAGCATAAAACTTTTCTCTCTTCAGACTTGATAGGGTAATTGTCCATAGAGAATGGCAAGCATTTTTTTATAACTTAATTTGATCGTATCTGTGAGTTCCAAAAGGGCAAGAGCAAGTTCTTATGGAATTGGAATTCATAAGCCATGTTGAATATAAAATGACAAGAGCATTGTATGAATGGACCAAACTAATGGACACCACTTGGTTAACCTTGTAGGTAGGGGCAATGTAGTTGTGATCTAAAGGGCCCAGTGGTGCTTCTGTTCTGCCTTAAACTGGGTGCTGGTTATACAACATGCTGATATTGTAAACATTCATCATGTTTTATAGTTATTTACATGTTCTCTTTTCTGAAGGTAAGTTATACTTCATTTAAAGGTTTAAAGTTCTATTTGTATTTGTGTATATTGTTGCATATTGACACTGGGAAGGATCTCTGTAGTTGAATCTGTTTGAAATGATCTAGGTACTGGGAAACAGCTCTACGTAGACTTGTCGGGGCTGTATCATAGAACTTCTGAGCCTATGTTATTCTGTTAATGTGTATCTTGAATGACTTCAGTGTAGACTTCTCAAAATAGAAGATGATGTAACTTTAGTTGATCAGTTGTTGACAGCCTCCTGTGAACAAGGGACATGCTGGCTTAGGCTGGGTACACCTATGACATCATCACTCCCATTGCACTCTCCTCCAGACTACTGGTGCTTATAGTACACAGATGAGCAATAAAGTCAGGAGCAAGCAATACCACAAGATAAGCACAAAGCTACTGGGAGGTTCGTGGAGGTATGTTCTACTGACAATAGGGAAAGCTTGGGAGGCATTTGAGTGGCTCTCCATGGTATGATTTTTCTTATTGTTTTTTATTTTATATGTATGAGTGTATTGCCTACATGTGTGTAAGTACACATATGTCATGCAGTGCCCACAGAAGTCAGAAAAGGGTGTTGGATTCCCCTGGAAGTGGAGCTATGAACAGTTGTTAGCCACCATATGGGTGCTGGGAATTGAACCTAGGTCCTCTACAAGAGCAACCAGTGCCCTTAACTGATGAGCCATCTCTCCAGCCCCAACAGTATGCTTTTGAAAAGAAGTAGATGACTAGTAGACATTGTTAGTACCATATTCATGAGGCGGTCCATAGAAAACTCACATTCTGGGGGCTGGAGAAATGGCTCAGCAGTTAGAAGCACTGGCTGCTCTTGCAAAGGACCTGGGTTCAGTTCCCAGCACCCACATGACAGCTAACAAACATCCGTACCTCCAGTTGCAGGAGGATCTGACGCCTTCTTCTGACCTCTGCAGGCACTGCACGACATACATGCACTTACTTACATGCATGCAGGCAATATACTCAGGCACATAAAATAAAAATGAATAAAATATTTTAAAAAAAGAAAATTCTGGCCTCGTTGCTGACTGGCTCTCTTGAGGTGAATGGCATTCCTCAGATGGAGGCGAAGCCTGAAAGACGAGTTGGAACCTTACAGCGGCTGGGTGGTGGTGTTTCATTTGGGAGGTGATAGGAAGCCAGAGTCCGTTCCTAAGGAGAGTGGCATGACACATTGTGATCACATCTGCTACCTCCACCAAAACTCAGTTTCCAGCCTCCCTGGTTGTATAGCCACCATTAATTACCCTGTCTATCCCTAGTCAGCATTTCTGGGTCTAGAACGTTCTCTGATGTCTCATTTTCTCCTGTTTATTTTTGGGTTCAGTAATGAGCCAGAACTACATAGCTTTCTTGAGATCCCTATGGTCGTCCTTCTAGAACTTGAAGATTACCATGTATTTGACACTCCTCCCTCATGACCTACAGAAGCTGCAGCTCCCCTATCCTTTTTTTCAGACATCCTGTTTTCTAGTCTCGGGGTGATTGGGCTTTTATTTCCTTCCTGCCTGTCCTGCATCATCCTTTGACTTGCTCTTCTGATTCATGACAAACAGTGGGTGGGAAGAAGGGCCAAGAAATACCATTAAAACAAACTTTGCAAGATTTGAAAGAGGCTTCACTTGCTGCCCTGAGATTTTGCCCCAGTCTGCTATTGGGCTCTCTTGTTTCTGCTAAGGCATTGGGCAGGATTTTGTGATGTGGCAAAGTCTTGGTTGAACAAGTTCCGTATTCAAGTCTGGTCACTCAAACACTGCGAGGTCCATTCAGTTAATCCCTTACCAGTTTTTGCTACTGCTCACTAGTCTTTTAGACAGTGGAGAGGGGTAACTCAATATTTTCTTCTATCCTATTCCATAATGTCAAGATGTTATTCTGATCAAAGGGATGGTGCCTGGATAACTAAAATTTTCAGTTTAGATCCTACAAGTCATTTGGAGATTGTGATCAAACTCTACAATGGTCCATTTTTTCATCCTCCGAGGAAAACAGTCAAGTGATATGGAGATTGGATTAGAGCCAGCATGAAGCCCTCCATTTCTATATGTGTATAGATTTAACAGGTTCCTTGACTGGCTTGGTAATGAGAATCAAACAAGGCAATCCACACAAAACATCCATCAAACCTGGCACACAGTCTGGCTTTGCCTTTTCCTTTTGGAGCACAAGCTTCTACCACCCGGTGCTACTTTGTAGATTTGCTCTGGACAGCCTATGAGTACAAAAGCTGTTTCATGTGGTCTTGGTATTACCATTTTGCTTTCACATGTTTTAATCACTGTCATTGTAGTTTGGAGTTGTTTCCATATTGGAATAATGTTATATTATCCAATTATCAAAATTAATCTCGCAACATATTGTTGTGTCACATCTGTTTAATGATTCTATTAGAAAAAATAATTTTCTTGATGGTTGCCATCTGCTAGAAGTTTACTTTTTTCTTCTTTCTTTTTCCGTTTCCTGTTAAATGAGTGAGTTCTGAATTGGATGCATTTCCCATAATGGTGAAGTGCACAGTGAGGGGTGTGGCAAGCATCCCAGTTGCCTGGGTGATCTGGGAAATCAGGGACTGACTGGGCTTCTCTCATTCCATTCATCATTTACCACCCTGGCAGCTGATAAGTACCACCCACCAAACAGAAAATTGAATAGCCTGGGGATGTAATTTCATCAAGTTATTGTATAGTAGCACAGACATAGGAAGGAGTTGGGCTACCCTGTCTTCAGTTTGAAAGGGTAGTAGGGAGCATTTAGCCTGTGAAACAAGCATTTGAAAAATCTGGAACTTAACGTGTGTACCATGTTCACATGGAATAGTTCTATCATAGTAACTGTCCCATTTACTGCAGGTGTTAACATACTTCCCCATGATCTCTTTCAGGTAGAACGTCATGACATGAATACCCTTAGCCTGCCCCTGAACATACGCCGAGGGGGGTCAGATACCAACCTCAACTTTGATGTCCCAGATGGCATCCTGGACTTCCACAAGGTCAAACTCAATGCAGACATCCTAAAACAAAAAATCTTAAAAGTAACAGAACAGATAAAAATCGAGCAGACATCCCGTGATGGGAATGTGGCAGAGTATCTGAAACTGGTCAACAGTGCGGACAAGCAGCAAGCTGGGCGCATCAAGCAGGTCTTTGAAAAGAAGAACCAGAAGTCAGCTCACTCGATTGCTCAGCTGCAGAAGAAGTTAGAGCAGTATCACAGAAAGCTCCGGGAGATCGAACAGAATGGAGCCTCTCGAAGTGCAAAGGACATTTCCAAAGACAACCTGAAGGACATCCACCACTCTCTGAAAGATGCCCATGTCAAATCAAGAACTGCTCCCCACTGCCTGGAGAGCAGTAAATCAAGCATGCCAGGGGTATCCCTCACTCCCCCCGTGTTTGTCTTCAGTAAGTCCCGAGAATTTGCCAACTTGATCCGGAATAAGTTTGGCAGTGCCGACAACATTGCTCACTTAAAAAATTCCCTAGAGGAGTTTAGACCCGAGGCAAGCACCAGGGCTTATGGGGGCAGCGCCACCATTGTGAACAAACCCAAGTACGGTAGTGATGATGAGTGTTCGAGTGGCACATCAGGCTCAGCTGACAGTAACGGGAACCAGTCCTTTGGGGCTGGTGGGGCTAGCACACTGGATAGCCAGGGGAAGCTTGCCATGATCCTAGAGGAACTGAGGGAGATCAAGGACACCCAAGCCCAGCTGGCAGAGGACATCGAGGCACTGAAAGTGCAGTTTAAGAGAGAATATGGTTTCATTTCTCAGACCCTGCAAGAGGAGAGATACAGGTATGTCAAAGTATTCTGTTGAGATTGCTTTAGAAGCATACACATACAAACCACAGAGAGGCTGTCTGCTTGAAAATGATACGCTAATGAGTGTGTTTTCAATGTGGATGTGGATCCAGAGGCATTTAGTGATTGATCATCCTTTCCATCCCTCATAATTCCAAGTTCCATAATTTGTGGCCTATAGCTGACAATTAGAGGAAGATATTATATGTGTGGGTCTCTTAAAATATCATTGTACAGTCTGTGACTCATATGCATATTAACATACTGATTCGGCAGACTTCTGTTATCATCTTATTCACTAATTCAGAGACCTGCATTTCATTTCCCTCCATAGTAACAGTCCGGTAAAACAAGGACAACATGGTGGATTTGTATTTGGAATGTCAGTTTGAAGTATTTATAGGTAGATAGGTAGACAGACAGATGGGTGGATGGATTTAATATATAAATTGCCCATTAAACATTGTTTTACTCTAAATGGGCTAGAGAGATGGTTCAGCTGATAAAGTGCTCGCCATGCAAGAATGAAAACTGAATTTGGATACCTACCATGCATGTAAAAGCTGAGCTTGGTAGCACGTGTCTGTAACCCCAGCACTTGGGAAAGTAGAGACAGGCATCTCCCTGGAACTAGACAGCCAGCCTGGCCTATCGGTGAGCTCCAGGTTCAGTGAGAGACCCTGTCTCAGAAAATAAGGTAAAGAGTGACTGAGGAAAACATCTGAATTTGACCTCTGGCCTCTACACGTACCCACATGCATTCACACAAATACATACACACACATGCCATACATATACATACACAAACACTTTACCATAAATGAATGGCCTTCAAAAGTGATCTTAAGATTAAAGTAGTAACAAAATTTATAGGTTATATCAGCTGGTTTTAAAGTATCTGTTTTATAAGCTGGTGTTTGTATGCTTATGGCTTAAGGTATAGGGGATTAAATATGAGAGTTCATTTGCTCCATTTTCCTTATAAATTCTCCCAAAGTGTTTTAGTCACAGTGGGTTAACTTCAAAGAATATAAATAAAATTGTAAATGCCTATTTACACACTATAACATTTAAATTATAAATTTAACTTATACACTTAAAGTGTGTATAAGTTTTACACTTGAAGTGTGATTGTATGTGCTAATTTAGAGATGTGGCTCTTTCTCAACTCACAGTTTATAAAACTATTTTGTGATACCAGAATTTGAACCCAGGACCTCATGAATTCTAATCACATGCTATACCACTGATCTATGTCACTTGACCTGAAACTTTTTCTGTTAAACTTAACATATACATCTTTGACTTCAGTAGATTCATCACACAAGAATTATTTTTCAAGTTATGGCTTTCCCAGAGGTGTTGACTTTAATTTCATCCAGGTAATTTGAGATACAATATTTTTTGGATGTATGTCTTATCACAAATTACTAATCTTTATGTATGTAAGTTTAGGACTGCTGCTACTTTCGTTTGCCCTGTGGTTTAGTTTGTGATCCCTATGATAGGGCCATTTCAGTATGTTACTTCAATGTCTTTTTTTAACTTTTCAAGACAGGGTCTCTCTGTCCTGGAGTTCCCTATGTAGATCAGGCTGGCATCGAACTCCCAGAGATCCACTTGCCTCAGCCTCTTGAGTTCTGGGATTAAAGGCATGTGCCACCATACCCAGCTACTTAAGACACTTTTAAAAGGCTTACATAACAACAGTGGTAACATTTAACACCCATGAAGCTATACTTGAGGATAATCATTAAATCTGAATTAAGCAATTTAGGTTCCTTTTTAAAAATTGTTCTATCAGGTGACCTACATAAATGTCTGTAACTGGCATTGACCAGTCTTTCCTGGCTGAGGCGTCCCCTCCAAGTTCTGTACCCTCTTAAGTAGACAGTACAAGGTCTCAAACAAGACAAGACAAACCATCTCCAAGATGGACATGGGAATGGATCTTTGTATTTCTCTCACTTGAGATTTGGACTTTTAGAAGCACCACTGGATATGCCATCTATAATTTGTAAGGAGATTAATTTTTATTAGTACTTGTGGTCTAAAAACTGAAAGGCATGTCCAAGATGGGAGTTTGCTGGGCAGTGGGGAGATTAACTTGCCGAGCAGAGGCTAATAATAAAAGCTTCGTTCTTTTCCTCATGGGCTATGTGACCATAAGCCCCTGCTACTGTGGGGCAGAAAAGGGAGAAGCCACTGCAGATGTGGTGAGTCCTGGCTTGGCCTTGATGCACAGCCCTGGCTGGGCTGGCAGCTATATCTCTGATGACGTCTGCCTGCTAACATGGCAGGCAGCTCAGATGCTAGTCTGGCATGGGTAAAAAGGCCAGGCTTGATCTTGGTGAAACCTCAGAGATGAGGATATAGAGTTAAGAGTGCCTTAAGACCAGTCCTTTCTTGAATTAGAATTCAGGAGTAGCCAAAAACATTTTCCCCACAACCAGACCTACTCTTTTAGGAAAACAATCTGCCAGGGAATAAAAACAAGCCAAAGGCCCTAAGACAAAAGGACATTTTTCTGGAATGTGCTGTTGGACACCTGTGAAATATACTCAGCATGGACTTCTGTCTTTTGTCAAGGTACGAGCGGCTTGAAGACCAGTTGCATGACCTGACGGACCTGCACCAGCACGAGACAGCTAACCTGAAGCAGGAGCTGGCCAGCGCTGAGGAAAAAGTGGCCTATCAGGCCTATGAGCGCTCTCAAGACATCCAGGTGTGTTTCTCCTCATTAGACCCTGATGCAAGACTTTGCCAGGCTTTAATTCATTAAACAACTAATTCATTATGTCCCACCAAGCCCTCAGGCATGTAGGGCAAAATGTTTCCTCTGCGTAAACATTTCTGCTCTACCTCCTGACCCCATTGGCTTGTGTTACAGACATTGCTAAGGGGCTGCACTGTGTACTCCTGCTGGCCAAATCAATGACAAGTACTTCTTAACTACCAAGTCCAGCACCACCAAAATTTTAATAAATTTCAGGTGTGAGCTAGCCCTGCCTTCAGGAAACTTCCTGCGTAGGTGAGGAGAACCTTGACTGCCAAATGGCTTAAGACACATGATCAGAGGCCACATTCCACAGACCCTACAATACCCCAGAATTCAGTCCTGCCATGCCCAGCAAGCTGGGATGAGAGAAGAGGCCAAGAAACAAAATAACCCTGTGCTTCTTGAGTACCATTTTTAAAATATTTTATTTTTTATTTTTTATTTTATTTTACGTGTATGCGTGTATTGCCTGCATGTAGGTAAGCACACCTGTGTCGTGCAGTGTCGATGGAGGACAGAAGAGGCTGTCGGATCCCCTGGAACTGGAGTTACGGACAGTTGTTAGCTGCCATGTGGGTGCTGGGATTTGAACCCAGGTCTTCTGCAAGAACAGCCAGTGTTCTTAACCACTGAGCCATCTCTCCAGCCCCTTGAGTACCTTTTTTAAAACCATAAAAACAAACAAAAATGTGTTCTTCAAGTAAAGTTCAGTTTCTTTTCTCAGATTTTCTCAGATGGTCTCTGTAGTCAGTGGTTATTTTTCTCCTGCTTAGGAAAAGCCATCCACAGTTTATAAGGGAGAAAGATAGAAGATAAGAGATGTCAGCTTCTCCCTGGTATGTGTACTGTAGTTTCAGCTGTGCACATTCATTGTGCCCTTGTCCAGGCTGAGCCTGTGCTGATCGCAGAAGTCTGCTTGGACAGTTCTGTGAACCAGAACTTCAGAGCTCACAGGAAACTATCCCCAGAGAGCACAGTGCAGAAAACACTGGGTGACTGTGGGCTCGGTACTGGAGGAGGAACCTCAGCATCCCCAGTGTTCCAGTGTCCCCAGCAACTGGCCTAGGGTACAAACTGTCATGTACTAGGCCATCCTGTTTAGATTTTTTTAAAATTACATTTACTTTGTGTGTGTTTGTGTGTGTGTGTGTGTGTGTGTGTGTGTGTGTGTGTGTGTGTAGCTTACGTGGATGTCAGAGGACAATTTGTGGGAGTTAGTTCTCTCCTTCTACTGCCTGGGTTCCAAGGATTGGACGCAATTTGTCAGGCTTGGCAGCTACCCATTGAGCCATCTTGCTGTCCCCTGGGTCATCCTATTTTAGAACAGGTCTCAGATGCCACTGGGTGGTGTTTGAATGTACCATTTCCTCATTTAGGGAGTGGTTTGGGCTAATGTTCTCATTTTTAAGAAGCGTATACTGGGATGAGGAGGTCAGATAAAGGGAGGGGCTCCACAAAGAGACCTGACAGTTGGAAGAGTTCATTTCAACATTTTCCAGTTTAATCTCCAATCAGAACTATAAAGAACATCTCTATTAATAACTACAAGGGTCTTGGGGCAGGAGTCATGGCGGTTCAAAAGCTTTCTCTACCACTTTCTCTCTGGGACTCTAGCCAAGTAAGTGCTGTGTGCCTCAGCATCCTCATCTTTAAAATGGAAGTATTAATGAGCTCTCCTTCAAAAGGTCAAGAACATCAAGTGGGATGGGATATTTAATGTGCCAGAATCTGTGCCAGACATATAATAGTTGAAATGTTAGTGCCAGCCATTCTTTTTATTATGCTGAGTAGCCACGTTTCTCAAGGCTTTTAGTACTTGGACCTGTTCAGCTTCTTTATCTCCTATGTCATTGATTCTTGGATATGGGCTTCCAGCTGGGATGGTGCAGGTGGCAATTGCTTACAGACCCACAAAAGTTGAAGCAGTTGAACACCTCCCCCTTTCTTCAGTCCCAAATATCCGGTTTAAACTATTTGAAGACCATCCTTTCCTCTGTCTTCATACCCAACAAGTTAAACACTAGACCCAAGGAAGTACTAACACTTGTGGGGCTTAGTATCTCTTGGTACTGTGACCAAAATACCTTGCAGTTTACTGATTTTCTTTTAGTAAGAAATTGATAGCAATTCTAAGGTGAACTCTAAGATCAGTCTGAGTATACAGACATCCTCTACCCCAAATTGGATGAAAGTGCTGAAAATGATGATCCTTTGTCCTGTTTTGTCACCCTTTTCATATGGCATGCCTAAAATGGAAGAAACCCTGGGCCACACAGTTGAAAGCATGCCCGCTCTCCCGCACATGACTGTTAGAACTGACAGCCAGCGCTGCTTAAATGTGAAGATCTGAAAAAGTTTTATCCTTTGGTTGGTAGCCTAGGATAATGAAAGTTGCCATAGCAACAGAGAACCCTGTTCTTTGGCCCAGAGAGTATATTCAGCAAGAGAAAAGCAAATCAATGTTGTAGCCATTGTGCTTGCTTCAAGCCTGAATAGGTGGCTGGGTGCAGCTGCTCCAGTGCACTGGCAAACGATTAAGACAACAGGCTGGTAGAGGAGTGGGCACACCGCACTGCCTCTGGTGAGGCCCTTTGCTCCAAAAAGACATAGCACAAGAGGCTTTCTCTTCAGAGCCTCACATCCTGTGACTGACACCCAGGTTCATCCACTGTGTGGCACCTGCTACACTCAGCATTGCTCTGCTGAACGGGAACAGGAAGGGCAAGGTGAGCCTAGCCCCTGTCTCTGTGCAGCTTGTGTGTATGTCTGTTGGCCTGAAAGGTTTGGGGGAGATTTTACCTAATTATTTGGGTCAGGGACAGCTTTCCTCTGGATATGACAATCAGGGTGAGACCTCAAAGGTGAATGGAAGAGCAGCAGGTGAAGAAAAGGGGAAGAGGGGAGGCCTGCCTTTCAGGCAGAGTATATTGTATGTGTAAATCAGACCCCTTTTCATGATTTAGAAAGGCACTGTGTGGGGCATTAAGAAAGGCAGAAGATGGTTGAACTTGGGCCAAGAAAGGCTTTGAAAGGTCTTATGAAGAGGGGTGTCATGATGTGTATGTATCCTTAAAAGGTCACATGAGCTGTTACATGGATTCATGAGGTTTGGGAGCAAGGGTTATAAAATTCACTTAAAATGATGGCAGGCAAAAGGTCCTGGTGACTTCAAGTGGAAGGGAGACAGGGATAAGAGAGAAAAATGGACCAACAGATGGATAATGGATGTTGCATCAGTAGAGCTAGCTGATGGGTTGGATGAGAGAGGTGTCAAGGTGTCAAAGGGTGCTCTTGGGCTTCTGGTATGAGTCCTAAGTGATGTTCTGAGAGACGGATGTTGTGCAGGGATGTAGGGCTGCTGCAGGTACAGGGGTAGGTATGCTACATGAATATACATGTGTACAGAGATGCTTTCCAAAAGCTGAATAGAGCTGTCATTGGATATGTGAGTCGGTTTCAGAAGAGATAGCCAATGCAGAGATCTCCTCGGAGTCACCCATGTCTTAGGAATTAAAGGCTCAGAATGTAGGCCTGGGCTGGTATCCTGAGGAACACAGCGTTTACCAAGTAGGTGGAAGCAGGCTGCCTGCTGTCACTGTCAATCCATTCCCTTCCCTTCTCACCTCCCTTCTGTCCTCCCTGCACTGGTCATTACACAGACACATAGACTCCCAGTGGTAGAGTGAGGGCTGGCAGTAGGAGACAGCAGGTTGCCACAGCTGACTGGAGCGGTCAGTGTCCCAGAAGGCAGCCCGCCCCTTCTCAGCTTGCTCCTGATGGTGCCAACAGATGCTGGGATTCCATGCCACTTTATATTTACCAGATATAAATGTAATGAAAAAACTTAACCATGGCCAGGTGTGATGGTACATGACTATAACCCCAGATCCCAGCACTTGGGAGATTGAGGCAGCTTGATTGCAAGTTTAAGGCTAGACTGGGCTACGTCACAAGAGACCTTGTCTCAAAAAAGATAAACAAAAATCACTGTAATTCCTCATTTACAGTATTTAATGGTTACACATGCTTGTGCTACCCATGACAGCGTAAAATGAGTCTTGGATTCCTGCTTTATGCCTTTGTCTCTCACTGTCAGTTTGGGAATTTGAAACTGCTTGGCACTAGGTATCCTGAGCTGAGGGCTTCCTGCACATTTGGGCAGGTATTCCTTCCAGGCCTATGGTCTCAGCTGCATTCCATCCTCTCTCACCTCTTGCCTACAGGAAGCCTTGGAATCTTGCCAGACTCGTATCTCTAAGCTGGAGCTACACCAGCAGGAGCAACAGACCCTGCAGACAGACGCCATGAATGCCAAGGTGCTGCTGGGAAAGTGCATCAATGTGGTCCTGGCCTTCATGACCGTCATCCTGGTGTGCGTGTCCACCCTTGCCAAGTTCATCTCACCCATGATGAAGAGCCGCTTCCACATTCTTGGCACCTTCTTTGCTGTGACAATTCTTGCAATATTTTGTAAAAACTGGGACCATATTTTATGTGCCATAGAAAGGATAATAATACCAAGATGAGCCACTGGTTTCTGCCTTCACATTCTCTCAAGTTTTTATTTTGAAGAAAACTGTGCATACTACCAAATTTTTGAATGAACAGATGTGCCAAAGATGGCAAGACGGACTGGAGTTGTGTCGTATAAATAATAACGATTCCTTTAACTCAGTAGCGGTTGCCAGTGCAGTCCCTATATTTGGTTATACTTGGTTATGAAATTGTCTCAGAACTCTCCCCATATTGCTCACTGCCTTAATCAGAGCAGACTTCCCAGTCACCTGGCGAGTCCGGCATGGTAAAGCCCTGTTTATTGAAAACTCTGCTATAATTAGTGACCCAGAGGAAATGGGCCTCCCTCTCTTTCCCATGAATCTCTATCATATTGAGCTTCATGATTGCTAATGAACACGATGTTCTCCTTGAGTCCCGTAAACGGCAGAAATAGACATGATTCAAGGACATGAACAAACACAAGCTCTAACAATATTGAGCCCTTGGGGCCTGTGAAAGCACAGTGCATCTCTCTGTGATCCACCCTGCTTGTCCACAGGTAACTCTCTGTCCCATTATTCACATGTGCCCAGTGTTCACATTGGTCAGTTATGTGTCCTCATAACATGGAAACCTTACACCTGCTTACCTAACAGAAGTCTGCCTGACAGGTAGGATTGCACTTTAGACAGTAAGACACTGGGATTTACATATGGGCTTTCCCCTTCATATGCCCAGGGAACCACACCTCTGATTTTTGTCTTATCTGGTCAGCAATGCCCTGCCTTCAGAGCATGCTGCAATGCTTCCAGGCCCTTGTCGAACCGTGGCTTTGTTAACATGGGGTCCCCTGAGCACTCCCTGTAGAGGCTTGTGCTCTGGCAAATCTTAACTGTGATAAATCCCTTTTGCGGATAGGATGCACTTTATGCAATTCACTTTACTCACAGGTCTGTGAAGATCAGATTGCAAAGCTTGCTCAGGAAATGAAAACAAACAATGCTCGTGTTGCCGGGTCCCCCCCCCCGCCCCTTGAAGGACAACCGAATCAAACTTTATAAAGCTTATATGTAGTGAGGCAGAACACTGGAGACCAGGAAGATGTGGCCGACCTTTGGTACAATCAAATGGTAGCTAGATTAGTGGGAGTCCTTCACCTAGGTAGGGATTGGGAAGGCCCACATAGGGACAGAGAAGTCAGTAAGAATAAAGTTAAGTCCAGTGTTGAACCTGGGGTTACCATCTGTCTCTTAGGCTCATACTGAGACAAGTTCTGAGGTAACAGGATAAGCGAACTGCTGCTGAGTGGAAAGTCTGGTAGAGCTGCGTCTTGGGCCTGCTTGGGGACTGCCATTTACTGCCGCATTTGGATCTCTTGTGTACACATCAAAAAGGAGTATGGAGGAGATTGTAGTGGAAGCTGTAGGCCAGCCCCAGATCCTCCCACCCAACATCCGCTGAAGGTCTAAAGACACTGTTAACATGTTTACTTTGATCTAGAAACACTCTCTCCTAGATTTAAATTAGGTATAATCACTTGTAAATGACTGTTCTTTGGAAAATCACTTGAGGGGAAAATGCGCCACAGTTTAGTACAAGTTCAATGTGAGTGAGTGAGGCTCAAACAACTCTATCCTTTTTTTTCTTCCAACTTTTTCTAAAAGTATATAATTCAGTAGTCTTAGTAAATTCACAAACCGTTCAGCCATTACCCCCAACCAGTTCCAGAAAATAATATGCATCACTCCATGAAATGAAAAGCATTTTGGAATCAGGAATGAGGGCATTCCCAGCCCCAGCCCTGTCTTATGGCTATGTCCCCACCCCTGGGCCAGCTGAAGGTTCCAGAGCCAAGCAGGAAGGGAGGGAGAATGGTGCTCTTTCCTTTGCTCTTGCCCCCTAACCTGTAGGTCTCAGACTCAGCTCACACACTTAAGGCAAGCTGGGCCCTGCTGGGCTTCATATTTGTGAATTTTTCCAAGGGGCACTTTGGACATGCCAGGGCCTGGGGTGGGTGTGCGTGCCACTGGTTGTTTAGAGGATGAATAAGATGGCTGGCCTTTGAAGAAGAGGTGGGCCTGATTCATGCCAGCACACCCCTACCTGTTGCTTCTCCTTGGTGAGAGAGTAGGGAAGAAAGTTGCAAGCCGCACACTCCATACCCTCCAGTCTGAGCTATTAACATAATCTGGTAGAAACTGGCTCCATTCTGAAATAAAGAAGGGGGCATCTGAATCATTCAACTGATCATGAATTCCTTCCAAAGAACTCAGCTTTCCATGGACGTCCATTAAATATCAAATCACCTTGCTTCACTTAGGTATGCTCGGCCTATGTTGCATACTTCTTTTAGTCTTATGGAAAGTTTATAAAACTTTTTATTTTTTTATTAAGATTGTGTACTTCAAGGAGACTTTTACTCTGCAGTTTATTCTCTGAAGGATATACCTCCTGCCTCTTGCTCTCTTGAGCATATGACTTATACACTGAAAAAATGAATGATACAGCTGTGACATATCCTGGAATTGGGTGTTTGATTTACATTCAAGCCAACTGGTCTTGTCTTGCACTTTCCATTGGTAGGCAACATCTCGCATACCTTGTGATGAAAACCAGTTGTTAGATGGATCAGCAGGAACTTTAGTGAGGGATTCAAGATGCTGGACTTTGCATCTTTGAGGACATCATGATCAGTCACCAGGACAGTGATTGTTGGAGACGGAACAGAAACTTTAAAATGCTAAAAATAGTAAATATTAAAAATATTCTCTCTGTGGGGTTTGAATTGGTTTTATTTCAGCTTATATTTTGTGTATGATTAACGTAGAACAAAAACTTCTCTCTCCACCCTCCAAAGAAATACACATACAATGAAGTGACATCAGGAAGTGTTCTGTGGCTGGTTTTGGTTGGTGAACGCAGGATTCACCACTCCCTGTTCCTGGCATGTAGCGTTGGCAGTTTTCAGCCCACAATGCTCTTGTCAGTTCATGTCCATGCACGTCAGCGCTTCTGTCGCTCTTTCATTTATGTCTTGCCCCCTGTGTGTATTTACTTCCCTGCTGCTTCTCTAGCGTGTCAGGTCTAATTACACGTTGGAACATGGTAAGGGAACTAGTTTCCCTCAGGCAACTAATTACTTTTATCCTTTTGGGTTGAATTTTGAATACCAAATTATTTTGCGTTGAATAGGAATTTTTTTTTAATCTACCAAATCCAGGTCTCACTATTTCATTTTGGAAACACAGATATGTTTATTGATATGGACATGTATGGTTAAACAACCTGCTTTGCATGTTTCTTTAATTCTGAGCTTGGAGTGGAGTATGAATATATGGCAGTTGTTAAAATTGAGGGCTTATTTGGAGAAGTGATTCAAGGTTAGCAGGTAACATTTTAGGGGTCTAAAAAGACAATAATGAAATTGGCCTGTTTGTATCAAGAACAGATAAAGAGCTTAAAAAAAAGTGTCATTAGCAGGACCTGGATAAATCATTAAAAATAAAGCAAAACTATTAATTTTCTGAAGTAAATACAATTCTCTGCCTATAAGAAGCTGGAAAGTAATGTACCCTTGATTGTTTTAGGAATGGTTTATGTGTTGCTGTTTTCACATATTTCAAGCATGTCTACTGTGTCCTAAAAGAAAACATTTCAACTAAACATGCTCTGAGATTAAGATGCTTTGAGGCAGTGGTAGCCCTGTAAATGTAAGAAACAGGAGATGCTGATTGTGACATCTGTTGCAGATTTCCCATTTTGGGGAATGCTATGTAGTTTTGTATCAGCCTAAAATTGTAATTTCTTTGTAGATCTTCTCCCATGGTGGTGTCATCAATGAATTCAAAGCAGGTGCCATTATTTTTTAAACACTTGATGTTTGCTTTGGTGTTAAATAAAAGAGTTAGATTTCTTAAATTTTCACGTGTTTCAGAGCCCATATCTCAGTAACATTGTGTGTGTGTGTGTGTGTGTGTGTGTAGATTGAATTTTAATAGTCTTTATTTTTCAAAGTAACTTTAGGTTTATATCAGAATTGAGAAAAACTTATGAAGAATTGTCTTAGATAATCTTGCCTCCACTGCCATCTCAATATCACCATCCTCCAGAGTGGTACCTTTGTTAGAGTTCATGAACCAGTATTGGAACACCATTATCACTTTGAGTCCATCATTACATTAGGGATACCCTTGGTGTCATTCTATGGCTTTGGACAAATATATAAGGACATGTATCTGTGTTGCAACATTATACAGAACAGTTTTAATTATTGACCTAAAAATATCCTGTGTCCTGTCTGTCCATACCTCCCCCTGTAATCAGTTTTTAAATTAATTTCAAGTCTTGTATTCTTTATAAAGTTTGTAATATATGATTCCTAGCCCATTCCTTAAACGAAGGGGCCGTGGGAAGTAGGTGACTTATCCTAGTCAGTATTTGGAGTGCTAGGAAATGTGTCCTAGTGTTGTGGAAAGGGGATGTGATGGTGAGGGAAACAAATTACATGTGAGCTGGAATGAGGAAGACAGGAATGTGGGAAGTGCCAGTTGAGGTATGCACATGACCAGGATGGACAGGAGCAAGCAGACCCCTCTGCCTTGAGCAGTCTACTCCTTGGAGTTCTGTTTTCAGAGCCTTTGGTGTTTCCACAGCACTGTTTTCATAGTGTGGGAACTCAGCTGGGTCAGTGACATGGGTACCATTACTTCCATGTGATTGACTGGAGCTCAGACACATGAGCTTCCAAGGTCATGACCTGTGAAAGGAGGATTTAGGATACTGCCTTTATCTTTTCCATCATCTTGCCCTTTTAGCTCTCTGCCTCCAGGCAACTCAATGTCTGAAGCAATTTTTTCATTGATCATCCATTCTGAATCCTGTACAAACAATAACTGGAGCTCCCAAGTGATGAAAAAATTTTTAGAGACCTCAGTCTGTTCTCTGTCCTGGAAAACTGCACGTCTTTGGAAATCATATAGGGCAAAACTATTATTTTTGATGTTGTTATTTGGTATCTAAAGATATAAGTATAGGAAATAAAAGGGAGTGGGTAAACAGATGGATGGGCCATTGTAGGTATATGTAGCCCAATGGATTCCTAGTCTATTATTTGCTGAGAAAAAAATAAGTGGGGAAAAAGTTCTAGTCGTTGGTTTATAGCTAATAATGAAAGTGACAAAGAATAAAACATTTTCTGGTTTTAGCATAATGTCCTAGTTTTATTTCTGTTTCTGTGATAAAATACCCTGACAGCATCACAGGGGAGAAAGGGTTTTATTTCAGTGTATAATTCCTGGTTACAGTCCATTATTGTGAGGAAGTTACAAGAACTTTGAACAGCTGGTCACTTCACATCCTCGGTCAAGAGCATAGAGAGAATGAAAGCATGCAGGCTCGCTTGCTTGCTTGTACTTGACTCAATGTCTCCACTCGTCTTCAGTTCAGGACTCCCTGCCTAGGGAATGGTGCACCCACAGTGGACTGGGTCTTTCCACATCAACTAACAATTTTAAGACAATCTCCCACAGACGTGCCCAGAGGCCAATCCAGTGTAAACAATCCCTCATTGAGACTGTCTTCCCAGGTAATTCTAGGTTGTGTCAAGTTGATAGTTAAAGCCAACCATCACACACATGGACTCCATATATATATATATATATATATATATATATATACACATACATATACATATGTTGTCTTGAACATCTGAGAATGTCAACAGTCACTACTGGACAAAGTAACAAAGTCTAACAGCATTTCAGAATAGCTTTTCTGAGTTTGCAACCATGGATTGCAGAGTAGCTGCACATACCTCCCCAAACCCATACAATTACTTTATATATTGTTGTTTAATATAGAAGTTTGTGAGATGCATAAGGACCATATCAATACCAAACAGTACCTTGCTTGACATTCATAGACATGGTGTAGGTCCAAGTTTCTTAAACTTTCCCATTTGCAACTGGCTTTCTGTCTGAGAAGATATTTTAATTTTTTAGATAGGGTCTCACTCTGTAGTCCTGCCTGACCTGGAACTCACTATGTAGACTAGGCTGGCCTCAAACTCCAGAGATTCACCTGCCTCTGTCTCCCAGTGCTGGGATTAAAGGTGTCTACCACTACACCCAGTTGTTTGCCTGAAAATTTTTTATGTGGCCCCAAGTATATATGTATGTATATAAACTAGGTTTACAAACCTAATGTTCACTGATAATAAATCATAAATTTATTTTACTTTTTATTTTGGTGTGTGTTGTTGTATGCACCTGTGTGTGCAGTACTTGTGCATGCGGAGGCCAGAGGCTGACATCAGATACCTTCTTCCATTGCTCTCCACTTTATTCTTTGAGAAAAGGTCTCTCACTGAATCTGGAGCCCATTGATTGGCTTGGCTGGCCAGCCAGTGCTCTCCAGGGATCCACCCGGCTCCAGTCTTCTCCCAGTACTGGGGTTACAGACACCTACCGCCATGCCCAGATTTTACATGGGTGCTGGGGATCCAATTTTACCTCTTATTGAAGACTAAAGTAAATTTGCATACTAATGAGATAGAGATACTTATTTTTACATAAAGAATTAAATATTGGCTGAATCTTGCCACATCTTCAACATTTTTCAGAGTTGATCAGTATTTTGATTTTATAATTGCTAGTACTTGGAATGGTACAAAATGGTAAAAGTATATTTAAGGCCATTTCAGAAGTTGTTGGAAATTCTGTCCTAATCTCAAGCCAAAATTCGTGTAATGATGCTTTATGAGACTATAATCAGCAACTCAAACTGCAATATTTAAAACCAAACATTCTAACACAATGCAACCCACTTGATATGTGTTAAGGAGTGATGGTAGGGAAAAATTGTTTTCCATAATTAAAACTTTGTGTTTCTATAATAGCAGAAAACTTTGTGTGTACAGTGAAAAGCACTGTACTTCACAACACACACATGCATGTGTATGAATGCACGTGTGTGTGTGCACGCGCGCACACACACACAAAGTTTTGAATCTGAATAGGATGTTTGAGGCAGATGTTTGGTGTTTCGTGGCAGTGGCATGCTCGGTGCAAAGTGCGTTTGCTGTGTGTTCAGAACCAAGACCAAGGCTCAGTGAGGTAGTGTTGCTAAATTCCTTATGCAAGCGGTAAACAATGTACACTCCCTCCTCTTCCTTGGGTCCCAACAACAAAACGGGGTATGATTCCATCAAAATGCACTCTGGGAAACCAATGAGTTTATTGGACTTTTCTATAGAGCAATGGGTAAGGGGTTACTTAGAAGAATGTGGGTGCTCCCCACCAAAGGCCATACTGGACGATCTTCACCAAGCATGGATGATGTCCTCTCCACAGCTGCATAAAATGGCAGGACACTCTGCCCTAGTTTTCCCCAACCTGTATACTCTGGCCCCTCCCTCAAGCCACATGTAATTAGGGTGAATTGCTCATCAGGTGAGGATCCCGTGACACTCCCTACCCCTGCCTGCCCTCCTTCTATGCCTGGACATAGACAGCCAACCAACACAGCTGAGGATCTTCTGCAAACTGGCACAGCTGAGCTCAGGAAGATGGCATTTGTCTGACTCAGGACAGCCTTGTACAACAGGTCATAAGATGCAACTCAGGAGAGCACTGCCAGAAACACCTCAGATCCATTATGGGTTTGATTTTGAATCAATTTCTGGTCATTGAGCATTCAGAAACCTTTTACTGATACCAATTTTTGCAACCCCCCCACATTCAGTCACATAACCATTATTTCAGAAGCTGAAGTGTAGCTGTCACCTAGCATTGTTAGAAGACTTACTGCCTGCAGTGCATTGTGCAAGAGCTTTCCATGCAGCAGCATCCAATGCTCAGTAGGACAAGGGCTGTTATCCCTGCTTACCAGATGAGGAAGCTGGGGTTCGCAGTGGTTAAGTCATTGGCATGCATGACAGCATGCAGTGGGCAATGGTAGATGGTGGTGCTGTTTATTCTGCCCCAAGCTAGTGACTCCAGTCTTTATGGGTTCCCAGTGCCCTGCACTGTAATAGAAAGAACTGGGAGGCCAACTTCCAGAGTTGCTCCTGGCACCTGCAACCACAGAAGGAATCTCTTTGAATCCTAGGATTCCAAAGACTAGCACAGCCAATACTGTGGGTGCAAACTGCACATTAACACCTTCACACAGCTGACGTGCTAGATCTTTGAGGAGCCTTGGGCTGACAGAGATATGGATAAAGAGTGAAAGCTATTAATTAAAGAAACTTTGATACCCTCCCTGGTTTCCTGGGATTCTTGGGGTATATAATTGGTGGTTGGCTTGGCTCAGTAGTTCTTGGCGTTTTTGCTTAGCTCTGAGATGGTGGAGTCCCTGGCGGCTTCCACTCTGAGCTCTACGACATCTGCTACCATCTGTGGTGGCTACCTCTGAAATTTCTCTCCTTGGTAAGCCAGCCAGAATGTATCCCCTGCCAGGCCTTTTAACTTGACTCAAGCAGTTAGCAGGAACAAGCAGCAGCCACGTTAACAGCTGTTTCAGTGGCGGTTACTCCACTCTCACCGAAGCATTGGGAATTGGACATTTGCCCCCTGCTCTGCTTAAAAATAAGCAATGGAAATAATACAAAGCAAGCAACGTTGCCTTGTTCTATGTGACCAGTCAGGGGTTCCTGTAGTTACAGGAGTTGTTAGGGGCCTCGACCCTTCTCTGATTCTTTAACTGTCCCTATCATAGTAGTGATGCAACCCCAGCTTTGCACCCAAGCTGTTTACTCTCCAAAGTGTTTTTGGCTTTTCCATCTTCATACTTTTCTTGTGCTTTGAAGCCCAGGCCTCAAGGCTCTACAGAGCTGTAAGTTGAACTGGCTCAGCAAACTTCCCTAAGTTACTCCATTTTGTTCAGAGCAATTTCAGCAGCAACTTTGCTCCACACCAAAAGGAA